ATCAGGGCCAAAAATCTGATAGAAAACAGTATTTACGTGTCTTTTGGTCAGTCGGTTAAACGGAAGTGACTGTGGGAATCACCTTACATACCAAATACTCGTCACTTCGAAAACTCTTAGCTTTACCTTGTCCATTGTAGTGTATGATAGATTGTGTTGTCATCGTCATCTCCGCTCACAAACCGTGACAGTTCCATTAACTTAAAACTAATGACGTCTGACGTGCAGGAGAGAATTTTCGGATTAATTTTAACATCAGCTGTCGGGCCAAAGGACATGGTTCTTGTCGCGTACAAATCTGCTTCTACGACGCTTCACCAGTGCTTGAACTGGCCTCACCGCAGCTGCCCCCAGGCCACGCAGGAGTATGGGAAAGATGGCTGGTTTCATGATTGTTTTCTTTGTTATTTGTTATTATTTATGTTATTATTGTTATATGTTCATTTTGTTTGTTGATTGTCATCTTTGTTTTCAGTGAAACTGTTCTGTCTTTCCACTTTCCGTTCAGCACTCCACTTCACTTTCACCTTACTGACCAGCCCGATACACGTACTTCTACTGACCACTGTTCAATCAGACCAGTGGGAATCGAAAGACACAGACAGCGTCCGGTCCATTCACCTTCACCAACTGCCGACACCCTACCGACACGAGCATGGATTGGCGTATTCCGTTTGTAGAACACCGGATGACACAAACTCGTAGTAGATGGACTCTTGCACCGTCTAAGTTCCTAGGACATGAAATTCAACACTGTCAATCATCAGAAGTGAAAAGAACGTCATTCACGGTGACTGAACAACCGTACAACATTCAGACTCAACACAAACGCTTTTCGTTGTAGCGAGTTTGCCAATGCAACGAGTTAAATGAAACTCCAATAATCAAAGCAATCATAAATTGAGTGAGAGGGCAAAACTACTTAGAATAAGTTCAATTGTTGCAGTGACTTTGGCCAGAATCGGCTTAACTACACGTTCTGTAACTAGGAAGCCAGACCGCCTAGCGCACATTCAACTTTGCTATTTTTCTATTGAATATATTCCTTCTTAATGTAAACGGCAAAATGAGGATGATGGTTCACCTGATGAGTTACTGTCTCCTCTGTGAGATTGGATCCGACGTCTTTTATGTGCTTTATTTTGTGTTCATAATATTTTGTTTTTATTTAATGGTGCCCAACTTTAAAAAATTTCATTAGCGTTTATTTTTTTTCCAATATTTTGCATCGAGGTGGCGATTATTGCACGTATGCTGAAGTGGCTTATTTTACTTCTTGCGTTGCTACACAACACTTTCTCATCGACCCCGGATGCCGTGTAAGCCCTCTCCTTGAATCGAACAAACACATACTAACTCTTCAGTACTTCAATGCCATGTCAGTTCTAACGAGATTTGCCCATCTTGTTGGCAGTCGCTTGCTACAAAGCTTCATGTTTAACAGTTGCTGAGCAAAGCGACTACCGTTCATTGGCTGGCAACGGTTCCACCTTCATCAGCGCCTCGTTTACATAAAGTCAACCAGTCACCTTAGCTGGACATTCTAGTCTCGCTCCGTCTGTGTCTCTTCCTTTGTCTGTTTTTCCCTCTCCTCTCCTCTCTGTTTGTTTTGCCTCACTATGAATTATTCTTCCTTTCTCTCCTCCTCTTTGTGTGCGTACGTCTCTCTCAAACGGTACTTGATACAATATCATGCTACTTCGTTATTAGTATTGATCTTCAATTTTTTTCAGCTTCCTGTTGTCGATTTTGCTAAGTGCTGTTATATCTAAATCACAGAGCAGGATATTCAGATTGCGAGCTCTGTTCACACGCAGCTTTAGTCTGTGGCTGAAGTTTTTATCCAATCAGTGCCTAGTCTAAGAAACCCACAGTTATGAAGAAAACCAATTCATTGTTAAAGTCGAAGATAACTGACTGTAATAGCGGCAGCGAAATACATCCATGTGCATACCATTACAGTTCGCCATGAA